ACCTAGTATGTGATCTATTCTGGAGAACGTCCCATGTGCACTTGATAAGAATGTGTATTCTGCTGCTTTAGGATGAAATGTTCTGAACATATCTTTAAGTCCATCTGGTCCAGTGTGTCATTCAAAGCCACTGTTTCCTTGTTGATTTTGCATAGATGATCTGTCTGTTGATGTAAGTAGGGTGTTAAAGTCCTCTACTATTATTGTATTATTATTATCAATGAATTCCTTTATGTTTGTTATTCATATTTGGGTGCTCCCAAATTGGGAACATAAATATTAAAATTGTTAGGTCTTCTTGCTGGATAGATCTTTTTATTATGATATAGTGCCCTTCTTCATCTCTTGTTACAGTCTTCAGTTTAAAATCTAGTTTGTCTGATATAAGTACTGCTACTCTGGCTTTCTTTTGGTGTCCATTAGCATGATAAATGGTTCTCTATCCCCTCACCTTCAATCTGCTGGTGTCGTTAGGTCTAAAATAAGTCTCCTGTAGGCAGCATATAGATGGGTCTTGTAGGGTTCCCCACCCCCAATTCAGACACCCTATGTCTTCTGATTGGTGCAGTTAGTCCATTTACATTCAGAGTGATTACTGATAGATATGAATTTAGTGCCATTTTATTACTTGTTCTGTCATTTCTGGAGATTTTCTCTGTTTCTCTCTAGTCTTTGAAGCTTTTGGTCTTTCTTTCCCACTCAAAAAGGCCCCTTTAATATTTCTTACAGGGCTGGTTTAGTGGTCATGAACTCCCTTAGTTTTTATTTGTCTGGGAAACTCTTTATCTCTCCTTGCTGGATAGAGTATTCTTATCTGCATATTTTTCCCATTCAGCACGTTGACTATATCATGCCACTCTCTTCTGGCCTGCCAAGTTTCTGTGGACAGATCTGCTCTTAACCTTATTTGTCTTCCCTTGTAAGTCCGGGACTTCTTTTGTCTTGCTGCTCTTAGGATTTTTTTCTTTATCTCTGCGTTTTGCAAATTTAACTTCTACGGTGTGGCCTCTTTCCCTCTAGTTGAGCAGTTTGTTCTGTCAGTCCTCAGATCAATTTCTCAGGTATTCAGAATGATTTGATATTTATCTAGCTGTGTTCAAGGGAAGAGGCAAGCCTAGGGTCCTCCTACTATTCTGCCATCTTAGCTCCTCCCAGGTAATGTTTTAAAATATTCATTTTCAAAGAGGCCTTAAGATTAGTAATAGAGAAGGACGTCTAATAGTTCAAGATTTTTACCAGAGCCGGCCTAGCACTATCTAGATTTCTAACCACTTGTTTCTTCCAATTTCAAAATTTCTTTCTAATTGGGGTTTAAATAATTTATTAGCTAAGGCCCATCTACATATCTCATAAGGCACTGGTAGAAACAGACATTTTGAGTAATTACCTATATCTAACCTGAAGCACTCTGATTCTCCTATACTACATTCAGACATCTGACCAAAAATTATTGGTTACCGCTTTCCCTACCCCATTATGTGCCAGACACTATGCTAAGGTTTGGAAATACCGACATGAACACCATCAACACTGTCCTCCTCCTACATGCTTGTGAAGCTTCCTGAGATAGTGCTATACCAAAGCAATGCTTCTCAGACTTTTCTACCATGTAACCCAAGTATTCAGAAGCCTAGAGAATTCAAGGTAGAAAACAGTCTACTCAGTCTTCTTATTTATCCTTCAAATTCAGAGAGATATTGCTAGCCATGATATATCCACATTTGATTTAATTAAAAAACATTTCCCCTAAGAAATATGTTTGAATAAAATTGAATGTAATAATTTTATGCAACATAAAAAGAAGATATGTAACATTTCTACCATGACTTATATACGCCAACTCACATCTAGACCCCAGTATGAGAATCACTTTACTAAAGGAACAGCTGTCCAACATACTATATAAGATAGCAACCATACCTCTACCTCTCTTGGTATCCCTGGCATACTTTTGTCTTAATTTTCTTCATAGCACTCATCATAAACTGAACTTTTACATGTTTAAATGATTACTGTCTGACTCTTCCCCACTAGAATATTAGCAAAACTCTATTCAGTTCACTACCATGTTCCCAGTACCTAGAACAGTGCTTAACATAATTGGCTTTCAGTAAACATTTGTTGAATAATTATTGAATAAGCAAACGAGAATCATAGCAATCCTTTTATTTCTTATATAAGAAATCAAATACCTTTATCATTATATATCTTCAGAATGTCCTTCTATGATGATAAAATATGAAATCTTTTAAAAGAACCTATTTCAGCTTTCTTACCCCTCCCCTTTTTCTAAGGATTTATTTATTTCTGGGGCACCTGGGTGGCTCAGGTGGTTAAGTGACCTGCTCTTGATTTAGGCTCAGGTTATGATCTCAGAGTCCTGGGATCAAGCCCCATGTCAGGGTCTGCACTCAGTGCAGAGTGGGCTTGTTCCTCTCCCCCGCCCTTCGCTCCTCTCTCATATAAATAAAATTTAATTAAACAGTAATTTAAAGATTAATTTATTTGAAAGAGAGAGAGAGAGTACACAAGCAGGGGAAGGGGCAGAGAGAGAGAGAGAGAGAGAGAGAAAATCCCAAACAGACTCCCTACTGAGTATGGAGCTCAATGAAGGACTGGATCTCACCACCCTGAGATCACGACAAGCTGAAATCAAGAGTTGAATGGGTAACCGACTAAGCCACCCAGGCGCCCCAGCTTTCCTACTCCTGATAAAGATTTTGTTCTAACATGTAGTCAACTTAAATTTCTACCCTAAGAGAGCTTCAAATTTTTATCCCCTTTTTAAAGGTTCCCTATGTTTCAGTTAGCATAAGTTTTAAATATTCCCTTGAAGTTTTATAAATTCTTTGCCTAATATTTAGTTGGGAAAGGAGTGGGAAGAAAGGAAGTAAAATATAGGCAGAAGTAGTTGGTGACAGGATGAGTGCTGAGAAAAAAGAGATGATATTGGAAATGATACCATCAGTTTTGCTAATGAAATACCTTAGTGCATTCTATCATTCCCACCTATCACTGAAGGTTCATCACCAAGCTAACTAGAGAGTTACCCCTTTCCCAGGTCTTGGTTACCTAAGTACACAAATTAAGACTGTCTGCTTACTTTGGATTACTCAGTTGGGAATCTTCAGACCTGCTCAGTCCAAATCAATAGCCACTAATACAGGTGGTCTCTGACACTTGAAATGTGGCTAAAATGAAGACCTGAGCTCTAAATTTTTTTTAAATTTTTTTATTGTTATGTTAATCACCATACATTACATCATTAGTTTTTGATGTAGTGTTCCATGATTCATTGTTTCTGCATAACACCCAGGGCTCCACGCAGAATGTGCCCTCTTTAATACCCATCACCAGGCTAACCCATCCCCCCACTCTCCTCCCCTCTAGAACCCTCAGTTTCTTTTTCAGAGTCCATCGTCTCTCATGGTTCGTCTCCCCCTCCGACTTACTCCCCTTCATTCTTCCCCTCCTGCTATCTTCTTCTTTTTCTTTTTTCTTAACATATGTTGTATTATTTGTTTCAGAAGTACAGATCTGTGATTCAACAGTCTTGCACAATTCACAGCGCTCACCATAGCACATACCCTCCCCAATGTCTATCACCCAGCCACCCCATCCCTCCCACCCCACACCACTCCAGCAACCCTCAGTTTGTTTCCTGAGATTAAGAATTCCTCATATCAGTGAGGTCATATGATACATGTCTTTCTCTGATTGACTTATTTCACTCAGCATAACACCCTCCAGTTCCATCCACGTCGTTGCAAATGGCAAGATCTCATTCCTTTTGATGGCTGCATAATATTCCATTGTATATATACCACTTCTTCTTTATCCATTCATCTGTCGATGGACATCTTGGCTCTTTCCACAGTTTGGCTATTGTGGACATTGCTGCTATAAACATTGGGGTGCACGTACCCCTTTGGATCCCTACATTTGTATCTTTGGGGTAAATACCCAGTAGTGCAATTGCTGGATTGTATGGTACTGAGCTCTAAATTTTATTTAATTTTTATTTAAATGTAAAAGCTGAAGCAACACTAACCACATTTATTGTTTTGGTAGAACTACATTTCACTTTAACTGGTGCATCATATAAATTATTATCGTATTTAGTAGTGTGCGTTTCATCTTAGTTTTTTTTATCTAGCTATCAAAAATTTTAAATTACACACATGGCTTGCATCATATTTCTATTGGACGGCACTGCTTGGCAACAGTGGTCCTCAACTGGGGACCATTCTGTCCCCCAAGGAACATCTGTCAACATCTAGAAACATTTTTGGTTGTCACAACTTGGGAGTGCTATTGGCATCTAGTGGATAGAGGCCGAGGATGATACTAAACATTCTATAACACACAAAATAACTTTGTTTTGGAAACAAAATATACCAAAATATCAACACCACTGCTACCTCAGTTCTTTTATCAGAATACAACAGAGAAAAGCACTCATTACATATGTCAAGCACCGATTACATAAGGAAGTAATGAGGTACGACAGGACGGCTGATGTTTAGAGAAAAGCTTTTGTGGAAGAGGAAGAATTTATGATCATAAAAGAAGGCTCGTATGATTTTAAAAGGCAAAAACAGAAGGATGACGAATAAATTCTCTTTTATTGTTAGGATAAAGGAAAAAACTACTATCAACAAAATGCACATGAAAAGGAATGAGAAGTCTCAGGCTAGTCAGGACCAGAAACTCCTGCAACAATTTAGGGAAAGAGGTCTTGAGGCCTTAAGCTAAGTATACTGCAGCTCAGAAAGAACAGATGGAATAATTACCCCTTAATATTTTGAAAGCAATTTTTTCTTTAACATCCTAATCATATATAGCATATAAACTATTTCAAGAATGATAAATGAGCATTATAATGTGCTTAAATAAAAATAAAGTAGATCACCACTTTTTTCATTATTAATCAGTAGTGCCAAATTAGATTAGACCAAGTCTCAAGCTAAGGCTGAAAAAAGTTTTTAGGCAGACATTACCTTTGTGTGTCAAGCGCCTCCTCATTTTTCATCCATCTAATGGTTGGAGTAGGAAGTCCTGAAGCAACACACGGCAACACCGCACTCTGACCAATGACTCTGACTAAGGAAGAAGGTTGTTTCAAAAATACCAAGTTTGAAGTGAATTCAGGATCTAAAAAATTAAAAAACAAAAGACAATAGTTAAGAAAGCATTTTACTACTTTAATGATGAGGAATGGCAAATTCCTATTCAGTCTGTGTGGCTTATTTTATTTTTTTTAAGTAGGCTCCATGCCCAGTGTGGGGTTTGAACTCATGACCCCAAGATCAAGAGATGCATGCTTTACCAGCTGAGCCAGCCAGGCACCCTATGTGGCTTTACATAACAAAATATTTTAAGCACAAGTGACACAAGAAGCGCCCATTTAAATTACCAAACATTTCCGGGCGCCTGGGTGGCTCAGTTGGTTAAGTGTCCGACTCTTGATTTCGGCTCAGGTCATGATCTTGGTCGTGGAATCAAGCCCTGCTTTGGGCTCCATGCTCAGCAGGGAGTCTGTCTGAGATTCTTTCTCTCCCTCTCCCTGTGCCCCGTCCCCAAAATAAATATATAAATCTTAAAAAAATAAATTAGCAAACATTTCCTTAATCACTTTGATGTGTAAAGCACTGTGCTAGGCTCTCTGGGGACCTTAAGGATGTAGCAGTTGTAGCTCCTAACTTCAAGGTGCTTACTAGTCAACTGAGGGATGTTTGGCAAGAATCCCCTTCACATCAAAAGACTGAATAAAGTAAATGTTTCATGAGTGGTACAAAGAGAGAAGAGACTGAGCAAGCTCAGGACCCTTAACAGCATCCTCTCCATTCATAGGGATATCGTAAGAGGTTTCCTTTACATCCCTACATCTGTGTGTTACTTCTAAAAATCTTTCTGAGTTTCATCTCTTTAACTCATTCACTTAGTATGTCAATCCCTTGATTTCTATAATGGTACAACTGTTAGGCTGCTACTGTGCATGTTCACTTTATACAGCTGCCCTCTTATGGATATCTGAAAAGGCCACACTCTAATGGGTAGAAGACAGGGTTCTCTTCTTGATGGAGTGGTATTTCCAGTGTTCAGTTTTGAGAAAAAAGACTGTTCTCAGGTAAAGAGATAGGACTCTTGTCCCCATACTCTCAGGAGAAGACGTTCTACATCCACGTTAACAACCACCGGGGCTGGCTTTAAACTTGCGTGACTAATGGATGACAGTTCTACAGCCATGGTAACAAGTAAACATTGTCTAATAGATGAGTGACAGCTCGCTTCAGCGAACATGACTTTGAAAGAAAGCCAGCGGATGAGTGATAGCCTCAGGCTTTAAAAGTCAGCCATTCAGAAGTGGAATCACTTGCTTCTATAGCTGACATTAACCTGCTCCCACGTCTGTAACCAACCATAAAACATGCTTCTATGGCTGACATCAACCCACTCTTGCCTCTTAACCAACACACCAAAAATAACATCTTCCCCAAAATTCTATACGAGAGCAGCAGTTTGCATTATTCAAGAAGACTATGCTTAACAACTATGGTTTTTCCTCACTTAAGTAAATAAAACATTATTTTGTTTTTGTTTCAGATATTGAGTGGTGGTTCATCCTCTGACACTGAAAATCTTTTTTTCCTTGGATCTGGTTTGAGGATTTGCTTGAATGGTACCCCAGAGAAGAAACAGGACCTCTGCCACGTAAAAACAAGTCAGGAAGAAGGCTCAAAGATGCTGCAATATGGCAAAAGTTTTCTTTTTTTCCCATTGGGATTTAGCTAAATTTAATCATATTTTGATAGAAACAAAAAATTTGAACAAATATTTTCTGGCTTCTAAGTGTCAGTTACCATTCTTAGCAGCAGACAAAATTCCCTACCCTCGTTGACCTTATATACTACTGGGGGAGAGAGACAAGAAATAAAAGACATAGTATGTCAGACAATGGATATGTTCTGAAGTAAAATTAAGGGGGAAAGAGGAAAGTACCAGGGTGGATATGGAAGACTGTTGTTTTAAACAGTGGCCAAGGAAGGCTTAACAATGAAGTGATATTTGAGCAGAGAAATAAGACGGTTGTGTCAGGCAGATATCTGAGGGAAGAGGATTCCAGGCAGGGCAAATGGCAAGTAGAAAGACCCCAAAGCAAAAGAATGTCTGGAGTATTCTTGGAAACATAAGGTGGTCACAATCATAGAGTGAGGGAGAGAAGAGTACCAGATGGAAGGAGAGAGATGGTGAGGAAGGGGGCATTAAGATTATAAAAAGCCTTACAGGCCAAGGACTTCGCTCTAAAATGAGAAACCATTAGGTTTTGAGCAAAGATGTAACATGATCTAATATACATTTTATTTTATTTTATAATCTAATATACATTTTAAAAAATAACTGTGGCTACTGAGCTGAAAATACACAGGGACAGGAATGGCAAAGGCATGGATGATGATGACAAAGAAAGAAACTGCATTAAAAAAAAAAAGTCAGTTCAAAGCCCATCAGGAACACCCTCAAGCGTTGCTGCTCCCAACACTGGGCTCACCTTGGAAGCCAATCCATAGACTAAAAATTAGCCTACAAATAGTTGTATATGAAAAATCTGCCCAAACAATGTAAAGATGGCCCCATTATATTCATAAACTCAGGTCTGAAGGAAGAAATGTGGAATCAGGCACCCAGCAGTGGAAACAAGCTGAGAGGCCAGGAGGCAGCAGGAGGCAAGCATGATTGGGATGAGCAATACGTGAGAGGAAGTTATGAGTAAGCAGAAGTTACACAGCTAAGAAAAGACACACGAAACAGAGGAGGAAAGCCAGCAGGGGCAGAAAGAGTGAGAATCCACAAAGAGAGGGAAGGGGCTGAATTTACATTAAATGGGGGAACGCTATAAATGCCCAAGAACTCTTGCTTACCAGTGTCTCCAGAGCTGCTCTATTAGTTAACACGCTGCCCATCCCTTACATGAACTAGCCCGAGGGAGTCTTAGATTCTGACAAGAGATCTAACTATATCAAGTATCCCATTCCAGGGAAGGAGCAGATAGAGGCTTGACAGAAGACAAAGACCTAGGGTGTCTTTGGCCAAGAAGAATGCCATAGATACACTTTATCACTTCATAAATTTCTACTAATGTAGTCACTAAAGAGTAAATCTTTCTGGCACGTTTTCTTCTTTTCTCTGCCTATGAGAAACTGAGACTCCTTAGGCTGATATTAACTTGTCACAATCATATATTTACCAGTGTTTATTTAAAAAGAAAATTCTAACAATTTTCATCCATTAAGAAACATAAAACCCAAGTCCTGATAATAAATTAATACCTGGAAGAACTTTCAATTCAGCTTCATCGCTATACTTTGGTGGCCCACTGCTTTCAACTATGCAGCGATAAAGTCCCCCATCGCCTTCAGTAGCGTTGCTGATAACCAGTGTTCCACTTGGAAGTTTGATAACTCTATCATCCAGAAGAAGAGGCTGTCTGTTCTGTTCCCACCTCACAAACGGGACCATATCTACATTAACTTCACAATTCAGAATGGCACTGTTCCCAGCATAAACAGAAGAAGGTTCTGGTTGGCTGGCAAATCTTGGAAGACCTGGACAATAGAGGAAAAGAAGAAATAAAATGTAGTTTAATGTTACCTTACAATGTAGTGTTGGGAACCAGGAGCAAGTCAGCCCATGTGGCCATATGTACACTGGAACCAGGATCAAGAAGAAAGTCTATGGGTCAGGAAACTGGCTACAACAGGGATACAAGTCAAATAAGTAAATGTATTTGACTTCAAATACATTGTATTAATACATTCAAATAAGTAAATGTATTTGACTTCACATTCGTCACAGTTGGAGAAGCAAGGTACAAATACGGAAAAGCAGAAGGGTAGAACAAATCCCATGGTATTGGTAGAATTGAGGCATGAGTATAAACTTACAGTCTTATATAATTATATATAATTAAACATATACATAGATACAAATGTATGTGTAAAAATATATATATACATTTCATACACAGTCATTACATATATATATATCTATACATATATATGTATATGTATAAATCTCCTAGCTCTGTCCAGAGAGAGTCCAAAATCAATGCCACTTGAGTAGCAAAGACTATATGGTGACATAATCTTGATTTCTAAATACCATTTTCCACTACAAGGAACCAATGCTCCTTAAAGAGGCTGATTCCATGACTAGAGTAAGGAAAGTACAAGATAAACCTGGAACATCCTGTGACAGGAAGTAAGGAAGCATCCAAAGAACAATATGGACATATCAAAAGGACACAGAAGTCAGACTGAAGGGAGTTCCCTCTGGCTCAATCTGGGATAATGATAATTGAGGCAGAAAAGAATGAATGGATGCTAAACTCACTGGTGAAAGGTGGATGAGGAATAGGATGTATACAGAGCCTCAAATTAGCTCTTCCCAAAATACTGCTAATTAATAAAAGTATAAATATTAACTTCACAGTGGAGAAACATAGCATAGACCATATTAACAAAGTAATAAAGGTTAACATAAGCAGTAATGAAACAAAACATCATACATTTCCTGATAGAATGCACTAAGAAGAACGTGGCATCATTTACTTCTGCGATATTTCTTCCCAAAATGCAAAACTTCAATATATTCATAGGGGAAAATCAGAAAACACAAAATGAGACAAGGATAAACTAAAGAATGGTTTGAGACCAAAAGAGCCTAAACTACTAAATACAACATGTAATCCAGGACCAGAAAGGAGTGGCAAAGGGGCAAAGTTCCTGCTTTTGTTTTTTGCTCTTAAGAACTTTATTGAAGCAACCAGTAAAATCAGAATGGTATCTACGGTAGTATCGTTAATATTAAGATTAACTTCCTAAAATTGATGGATGGTTATTTAGGAGAGTATCTTTGTTTTTAGGAAATACACACAGAAGTATGTAGGTGAGGGTAATGCCTCCAACTTACCCATAATGATTCAGAAAAAAACACTGATTTGGGTATGTGCATATTGTGGGGGGTTATAAGGCAGACACAGTAAATTGTTAACAATTGGGTAATCTGAGTGAAGAATATATGGGATTTCTTGGTTTCACTCTTGCAATAACTGTATGAGTTTGAAATTATTTCAAAATAAAATATTGACAAAAATGTAGTCATAAATACTCTGTAGATGCCACAGAATGTAGTGGTTAAGAGCCTAAGTTCTGGAGTCACATAATCTGAATGTGAATCCCAACCCCACCACTTCATGGCTGTGTGACATTAGCAAGTTACTTAACGTTGAAGTCTCAGTTTCTCCATCAGGAAAATGAGAACAATAAGAGACCTCATAGGGTGTTAAAAAGGTTAATATTTAACATAAATACTTCATACATAGCATATTGCCTTGACAGTAGGCAATAAAAACTCAAATAGTAGGGGTGCCTGGGTGGCACAGTTGGTTAAGCATCTCACTCTTGGTTTTGGCTCAGGTCATGATCTCAGGGTCTTGGGATCGAGCCCCACGTCAGGGTCCACACTCAGTGCAGAGTCGGCTTGAGATTCTCTCTCCCTCTCTGCCCCTCCTGCTAATGCCCCACCCAAATAAATAAATCTGGAAAAAAATACTCAAATAGTAGCTGCTATTATTATTAACAGTAACATCTAAAAAAGTGACTCTGAGATGTGGAGAACACAGCAAACTGTTTCTTTAAAGACTAACAAACATAGTAAATTATGAGAAACAGTTCCAGGTTTTGTAGTTTTATGGTGGTGAATTATTCCATATGGAAATAACACACAAGTTGTCTAGCCTTCTTACAAATTTTTTCTTATTTTTTATATCAAGGGGATTTTTGAAGGAAAGATAAAATTAGCCATACATCCACTTTACAGAAACCAAAATATTAGAAGAATGGAATTAACAAAGATAAACAGAGAAACTAACAAAGTAGGAAAAAAGGAAGCTGAAATAAAACCAAGAGCTAATTCCCCTCCTGAGGTCTCATGAAAATGAGTAACAACATATGTGGAACTGGCAGACAAGAGATTTCTACAAGTTTCTCAACAGGGAAAGCAGATGGAGGAACTGGTGCTGACACATCACAGCAGAAACTGCTGCAGCCTCCTGCGCTCACAAGTAGGAGGCCCATTTGTCCTGCTGCTTCCAGAGAATTGCAGGAGAAAGGAGCCAGTAGGAGTGAGACAGGGGCTGGACAAACACAGATTAACAATGTCTGTATTCAGGCCACCCAATAACTCCACCTTTAGGCACAAAACACTCCTAGCCAGGCTACTGCCCAGGCAGTAAAACCAAAATTTCCACTGTGGAGAAATGAGTGCAGAAAGACGACTTCTCCTATTTAATTTTATGAGCTACGTACTTTGTGTTCTTTCAGAAATTCCCCTTCTTACTTGACTTGGCCAGAATCAGTTGCTATCACTTGTAACCAAAGAACACTAACCAATGTTCTTTTAGAATGGCAATTTGGCAGTATCTTTTTGAAAAAAAAAAATTAGTTTTATTGAGATATAATTTATATACCATAAAGTTTATCACTTAAAGTCCACAATTCAACAGTTTTTAGTATACACACAAAGTTGTGCAACCATCACTAGAACTTAGTTGGAGAACACTTTCACCATCCTTCAAAGAAACTGTGTACTCAGTTGCAGTCATTGCCCATTCCCTGTATTCACCCACCCAGCCCTTATCTCCCTCCCCCATCCTCAGCCCTAGAAAACCACCAATCTACTTCTTGGCTCCCTACAGTTCCTCCAGACATTTCATATATACGAAGTCCAGACATTTCATATATATGAAGTCATATGATATGCGGCTTCTTTCACTTATGTTTTTCATGTTTATCCATGTTTCAGTACATATAAGAATTTCATTCCTCTTTACTGCTGAGTAACATTCCATGTATGAATATACCACATTTTGGTTAGCCAATCATCACTTGATAGGTTGTTTCCACTTTTTGGTTATTACAGATAATGCTGCTAAAACCATTCATGTACAAATTTTTGTACAGATCTATCTTTTCATTTCTCTGGGGTTGATACCTAGAAATGGAATTGCTCAGTCATAAGGTAATTTTATGGTTAAAATTTTGAGGAACAGCCAAATAGTTCAGTGCTCTTTTTAAAATTATAGACACAAAGTACATTCTATGATCCAGCAACTAATACAATTACTAATTCCAATAATCTTTTCTATAGAGATTTATAAAAGACTGTTCACTATACTACTGCCTTTAACATCAGACAATTTTTATTCATGTAACTGTTCATCAAAAAGGAAATCTTGGGATAAATCACAGTATATCTATACAATGGATATTATGCAACTATTAAAAGAACTTTTATTCATCTCTTAGTTCAGATGTTATATCCTCCTGATACTCAGGCCATGAGTGAGTTAAATAACTCCTACAGAATCTTGTCTGCAGCCAAAGAATTGATTATATTTTATTAAAATTGGCTGTTTACTAAGACATTAGACCAAAAAATGCTTCTTGAAGGATATGAAAATTAAAAAGAAGGATGGACAAATCCAGCAGAGTAGAAAGAGAGGCTTAATAGGGAGTGGGGAAACCATGAGCAAAGGCCAGAGACAGAGAATAAAAGGAATCTGAAAATATTCAGTACTGGCAGAGCTTAAAATGTGTTGAAGGTGGTCCTGCTGCTGCTGGTGGTAGAGGGCAGGGAGAGAGGCAGGGCAGAGTGTTAAGAAACGAAGTTGGAGAGGGGGAACTGGGTGGCTCAGTCGGTTAAGTGTCCCAACTCCTGATTTCAGCTTAGGGCATGATCTCAGGGTCCTGGGATCCAGCCCCACATCAGGCTCTGTGCTCAGCAGGGAGTCTGCTTGAGATTCTCTCCCTCTCCCTCTGCCCTTCCCCACTCCCCCTAAAATAAATAAATAAATCTTTAAAAAGGAAGGGAGGGAGGGAGGGAGGGAGGGAGGGAGCTGGAGTGGAGGCCGGCTCATGAAAAGACCTAGAGGCCTGTTCAAGAGTTTAGACATCCACTTGATGTTGTCACTGAAGAGCTACTGAAGGGTGAGGAGAGAGCCTGACCACTGGACTGGAAGAGGGAAAGAACAAGGCAGCGGACAGCTACAGGTGATGTGAGGTGAGGGATGATGAGGAGCAGCCTCAGGATCACGTACAGAGAAACTAGGAAGCAGAATTCACTGGATTTGGTGAAAGGCTGTGGCAGACAGCAGAGAGGAAGGAGTCACGATTAAAGCCCAGCTTAAGACCATAAATGACAAAGAAGAGCTCACCTAAGTGACATTGTAGGGGCAGTCATAATGCTAACTTATTTATCTACATGTTGGAGAAAGCCTGGCAAGCAGATCAGAGGGAGGGAGGGAGAGAGGGAAAGGAAAAAGGAAGGAAAGAAGGAAAAGAAGGGGAAAAAAAGAAGAGAGGAAAGGCTAATTATCAAAAGAAGTGACTTTTCTTGCCTTTTCTTTTTCCATCCTCAGTCTGTGATTATGGAATAATTACAGTAACTTTATATCACACTCAAATTCAGCTATGAGTATCTGGTTCCAAAAAGAAAAAGAGCCATGATACTCTGAATGAATGAGCAAATATAGCCTGGAGAGAGCGGGAAATGGGGTACTATCACCCTACAGTGGCAATGAGATGGGAAACTATTCTGTTACTCATTTTCTTAAGTGTTAGCATTTTACCAAGATGAGTATAAACATAAGACAATTTCTGTACAATGTGACCCTTAAGAAAAACTAACTACACTTCATCTAGTACTCAAGTGAAGAAACACTGACCGAGGAATACCAGCGTCTACTACAAGACACGCATGACTTACTCAGCTTACGCTTCCATTATTCTTCAAATAAGAATGCTCTAAAAGGGAGTGAATGTTTGTCTCTTTTCAACTTTCTGCTCTTCATCTTAATACCCACATCCTATAGGTTTTTAAATAATTAATCCAATTAAATGTCATTTCCTTGGCTGGGGCATAAAGGAACCAAGATTCTGGCTATATTGCAAGTTTTACAAAGCCATACTAAGTGGTTATGCTGGGGAGGATAAAAGTTAGCAATCAAAGGGAATCAATTTTCCTATACAACTTCCTCTGTCATTTCCAAGTTAAAAAGAAAAGAACGGACTTAATAATTATGATCGCAGCTATAAGCAATGTAAGTGACAGAAAGTGAAAAAGTGCTACAGTTTATTCCCCATGGCACTAAGCAAGTCTTAGCAGAATGCCATGTACCTAGCAGATGCTCAATTGATACTTGTTAAGTGAGTATATTTCTTGTTACCAGTTAAATGAAAACTCTAGGATAATACTGCTTTTTATCAAGATATGCCCTTTATAAAAATTTGAAAATACAAATAAATTACTTTTGAAAAACTTACCTGCTACTGTGAGCTTGGCTGTTCTGCTGACAATAGTTCCAAGACTCTCAACAGTGGCCACACACTGATAATAACCTTCATCAGGTTTGTTGTGTTTGGAATGCACCACACTGCTGATAAATAAAGACCCATCTGAGAGAAGCTGGCGTCGGTCATCTGATACTAAGTTTAAAAAAGTTCCATCTTTTTTCCATTCAATTTTTGGAGAAGGTTCAGAATATGCTGAACAGTTCAATATAACAGAAGAGCCTCTAACTGAGAGCGTATCCACTGGCTCCACCAGAAAATAAAATGGAGTGAATGTTCGAATGCTGGATCCTACAAAAATAACAAAAAGAACAAAGTTAAGTAAAGCTTTCTTCTTCTATTTCTGTAAGAAAATGTAATTTGTATAAAAGTTATTGTTAAATAATTATGCTGTTTGGATATAACATAATAAGTCATTTCACTATTAGTATCTAACAAATAAAATTTCTTTTACTAGGAAATCAAAATATGACCCATTTAGAAGAAGATAAAAAAAAGACCCTGCCAGATGACATAATCCAACCTTGTTCGATTACATGAATATCTAATAAAAGTTTTATGTCAAACCCTACAATGGGATTTATAAATATTTAAAATTATTTTATTCAAAGTGAAATTTTCTATAAAACATAAAGGAAGCAGAAAACTGAAATGATTCTTTGTTATTAAGTTATGTTTACTGGCTATATTTGTTTCATAAATTCACCATACATACACTTTGTCCATTTTTCTAGTGGATTACTCATCCTATTGACTTAGCAATCTTTGGGCATAGCTATCATGTTTTGCAAATATTCTTTTTTCCACTTTGACATTATTTTTGTCATAAGAAAACAAATTTTAACTATATAAAATTAAATCTGTTATACTTAAAAGATTTTTATTCCAAGATTATAAAAAATTTCAGCTTTGTTTTGTGCTAGTACTTTTGTGATTTCATTTTCTACATTTAATCTTCATCTATAATTCATTTTTTTTTTTTAAGTAGGGAACTCACGACCCTGAGGATCAAGACCTGAGCTGAGATCAAGAGTTGGATGCTTAACCAACTGAGCCACCCAGGCGCCCCTAGAATTCATTTTGATGTAAACAGCACAGGAGGGGTCAGTTTAATTTTTCTAAGTCCTTAGAAAAATTCTTTGAACTTGAGGAAGTTCCTGGCCAGTTCCTTGAACATGAGAAGAACACAATTTTTTTTTTTTAATTTACTATAGGAAACTCCAGACTGTTTTCCAGAGTGGCTGCACCAGCCTGCATTCCCACCAACAGTGTAAGAGGGTTCCCCTTTCTCCACATCCTCACCAACATTTGTTGTTTCCTGTCTTATTAATTTTTGCCATTCTAACTGGTATAAAGTGGTATCTCATTGTGGTTTTGATTTGTATTTCCCTGATGGCTAAAAAGAGAGCTACCCTATGACCCAGCAATTGCACTACTAGGTATTTATCCCAAAGATACAAATGTAGTGAAAAGAAGGGGCACCTGTACCCCAATGTTCATAGCAGCAATGTCCACAATAGCCAAACTGTGGAAGGAACCGAGATGCCCTTCAACAGATGAATGGATAAACATGTGGTACATATATACAATGGAATAGTACTCAGCCATCAGAAAGGATGAATAACCACCATTTGCATCTACATGGATGGAACTGGAGGGAATTATGCTAAGTGAAATAAGTCAAGCAGAGAAAGACAATTATCATATGGTTTCACTCATATGTGGAACATAACGAATAGCACAGAGGACCACAGGGGAAGGGAGGGAAAACTGCATGGGAAGAAATCAGAGAGGGAGACAAACCATGAGAGACTCTGGACTTGGGGAAACAAACTGAGGGTTACAGAAGGGAAGGGGGATGGGGTAACCGGGTGATGGGTATTAAGGAGGGCACGTGTGGTGATGAGCACTGGGTGTTATACACAACCAAGGAATCATTGAACACTACATCAAAAACTAATGATGTAATATGTTGGCTAAATGAACATAATAAAAAAAATTTGCTATAAATCTTATATTCTCAGCCAGAGAAAACTTTCCAACTTAAAGCTTTACCTCTTTTCTTTAAGAGTACTGACCAAATCCCTTGTAATCAGACTATAATCAGTTCTAATCAGATTTCTTCATGTGAACAATTAGGGGGGCTTAGTCCAATAGGTGAAAACAAGACAGTTTTTAAAATATATCTACACACCCCTTTATCTATAATTTATTTACACTGTGAACTTAAGAATGACGCTAGTTCTTTACTACGTAATGAAAGAGTGGTTCTAAATAAATACGAAACATACTGGCAGAGGGAAGGGAATAATATTCACATGTTTTAAATTTTTCAAACATTTACAATGTGAATCAAATTCCAAACAGACTAATCTTCCTTTCCCAAACACCACGAGGTGGGTTCCATCCCTATTTAATGATTATGAAATTGATTCTTCAAGTCTTAAAACTCTTGAGAATGAGCTTAGGAATTTTTCAGAAGTAACCTGCAGGGATTTGCTTTTTACTACTGTAAAAAATGTTACATTGATACCATAGTAAAATAAATAAAAATATCAACTCTAGGGCAATACAAAAAGATTGCTAAACTAAGAGAAATTACTTTTATACCGTTCCTGTGTAACATTAAATCTTTATTATATCATCCAAATTAAACAATTCAGGAACTTAAGAGAGAAATGTATTAGACTGGCAGTCAAAAAAATAACAGTTTAAAATAATTATTAATAAACAAATTTCATTTTAAAATTTGGACAAAGTTTTGCCATTTAAAAAATAATTACACAAATGTAAATTTTCACAGCTTAACATTCTATCTTGCTTTTGATTTTCTTTTTTTTTAAGATTTTATTTATTTATTTGAGAGAGAGAGAGAGAACGAGCGAGGGGAAGAGCAGAGGGAGAGGGAGAAGCAGACTCCCTGCTGAGCAGGGAGCCCCAAGTGGGGCCCAATCCCAGGACCCTGGGATCATGACCCCAGCTGAAGGCAGACGCTTAACCAACCAAGACACCCAGGCGCCCCTGATATTCTTTCATTTTAAAAGTCCGTATCAACCAACTTGAACAAGAATATATGCCTTCAAAAAATTTTTTTAATTATAGGGAAGTTTACAAATGCCTTTGAAAACCAAGGCCCTTCAAAATTTTACCACAAATATGTATTCTACATTACTTAGAATATAGCATTAAATATTTATGTATATCATCTTTGTATTTTATTCCCTCAGTAAACACACAGTGACCTAAGGTACTGTTCCTTCGCTTAAAATCCCTCAAAGGCTTGCCACTGTCTTTTACAAACTAAATAAACTCCCTAAATGGACTATGTGACCTGGCCTCTACCTACTCTCCAGGATTCCCCAGCATCACTCTCTCCTCACCCTCTAAGGCTTGCTGCATCTCTGTTCCCCCCCACCGCCTTAGCTCCTGCCCTCTTCCCACAAGCTACTCCCACCACCACCCCTCTCCAATTGACTCCAAGTCTTCCTTCAAGCTCAGCTTAAATACTACTTTCTCAGAAATGCTGTCTGTGCCTGGTGTCCAGACAAGAATAGTTTTGTCTTGTTACAAGCCGGCATGGTATACAGTGCCTACACAGCACTTCAAATGTTCTTAATCTCTAAATATTTGTAATAACTTGTTAGGGCACAGAAGTTCCCAAAGTTTCTTGGCTCCTGGTGCCCTTATTTTTTTTATTTTTTTCATCAATTCTCTAGGCTAAAAGAAATACCTAACAGTTTTGTTTATGTAATAGTTAGGTTCAAACAAATGAATCAATATTTATGTCCTAACAAGTGAGTATCCTATTGAAAATATAATACAGGCAAATTGAAAAATATTTTAACTTTTAAACAACTACAACTAGTTATTATGGGATGTGTGTGCATATTGGACACTGCATGAGTTCTCAAACCTTGAAATCAAATTGGATACTGCCATCCTCTAGGACAACTGGTTACCCACATGAGAAAAAAAACAAGCCTACTTACAACATGTAATAACAGTAAACACTTAACATGTTTCTATGTATCAGAGACTGCTCTAAACATTCTCTACATACTAACTACTCATTTAATCTCCACTACTATCTTATTATAGGTACTACTATTATTCTAATTTTAGAGGAGAAAACTAAAGCATAGAAATGTTAAATACCTTGTCCAAGGTCACAAAGGTAGTAAATAACAGAACCAGAGTCTGTGATCTTAATCACATTACACTCTAATGCCTCTTATATACATATAGAAAAATACATTCCAGACCTATGAGAAAACTATGTAAAAAAAAATTTAGGGGGCGCCAGGGTGGCTCAGTTGGTCAAGCATCTGTGTTCAGCTCAGGTCATGAACCAGAGTCACGGGATGGAGCCCAGAGTCAGGCCCCCTGCTCAGCAGGGAGTCTGTTTCTTCCTCTCCCTCTGTCCCCCACTCTCCGCTTGTGATCTCTCTCTCACTCTTTCTCTCTCAAATAAATAAATAAATCTTTTAAAAAAGATTTTAGGAAAATACAAGGATAACCCTGGTGTCAGGCAACCTTTTAAGTCAAAATAGGGAACTTCAAAGTTAGAAAAGATAGATATGTTTCACTTCATTGTATTTAAATTTTTAAAACTTTAAGGCAAAAATATCATAACAAAGTAAAATATGACAAGACTGGGAGGAAATTTACCACATGTAACAAGAATTTTAAAAGTCACATCACTCAATAAAAAAAATGGATAAGGCTGTGTTCCAATAAAACTTTATAAAAACAAGCAGCAGGATGCATTTGATCCATTGACTCCTGCCTTAGAATATTTAGCCAGCAAAAAATAAGTGAGCCACATTTCATCTGATCTGGAATGAATTCTGAGAAAAATGAACAAATCAGACAAGTATAAATAATAAAATGTCATGTACATATGACTATATGAGCACTGAGAAAGTAGCAAAGTGTACCAGGTTGTTACCACTGATTTACTGGGAAGAGATGGAGGAGGTGAGTAGATGAAAAGCTTCAAGCACATAGAAAGTAATTTCATAATAAAAATTAGCTTACGTGTATAATCCCTTTATAAGTATTATACATGTTGTGGTAGGTGTGGGTGAAGGGGTACATTTTTTAAAAACTAGTCATTAAAATGTGGATTATCTCAGGGTGGTGAGATTTCAGTTGACTTTTAATTTCTTCTTTCACCTTTGCTATTACATGAATATTTTATATGAAACACAATGTTGTTCAAGCAGAAATAAAGCTATTTTCATATACAGTCTGCACAGGAAAAGGACAATATGAAAAGTCTGGGGCATATT